TTTATAAATTAATTCATTGCTTGTTATCAAACTTTGGCTGGAGAAGTAGAACACACATTTTAGAGTACTCTCTCTTGCCTTTAAAGAAGTCATAAAGCACTTCCACTTCATAGCTTATTTGGGGGTTATTTTGTACACCACCTGACTTCCTCCTCTTATTACAATACCTCTCGTTCCTTTCGCACCTTTTTCTGAGCGTCTCCTGTTTACTTGGTTGAATTAGACTGTCTTTTTTTCTCCTGACTTTTCCAGTGCTTTTCTTTGAAAGTCTGTTTTACATGGTACCCCTCCCGTTGTTTACATGTGTGTGGGCAGAGGAGCCAGACTAAGGGGTGGCTGCTGTCAGACAGGGTAATAGAAATGAAATCTTCACTTACCTACTCATCTGGAAGAGCTAATGAGTTTTTTCTCATGGCTGGCACTCCTTGGTGTTTCAGATATGGGCTAAGCAAGGAAAATAAAGTGTTGATGAGACCTATAGTGGCATGAGTATTGCCTTGAAAATGAGTCACCACTCAGCTCAGGTTGTAATGTATCTGTAAAACATGAGAGTTAAATAAGAATGTGGATTACTTTCCTGTGTTACAGGCTCTAACTTTCCTCCCTCTTTCTCATTCAGCTATAGGGTAAGATTTTTCCATCCTCTTTCTGGAAGACTTCAGAAAGACTAAAAGGATTAAAAAATGAGTGAGATTCTCACCTTCTCTGTAGCATCTTTAACAAGCCATAAGATCATGCAAAGACTCAAGGACTATGCCAGTAGTGCAGGCAGGACCCAAATGCCCATGACCTTTCCCAAAACACTATTTGTCATGGGCAGAGAAGCACTTTGCAGACCTGTGGCATTCAACAAGGATGTTTTGGGACTGTAGGCAGAAGGAGATCTAGGAAGGATCAGTGGGAACCTGGTTTTGTAGCTCTTTGGCCAAAGCAGCCATGGATGGCTAGGGATAGGAGGTTACACTTCTCTGAGATTTGGGTTAAATATACACAATATTTTCACACAGGTGTACCTATTGCACGATAGACAACATCTTTTTCTGGTTACCATTGGTCTGGAACTGGTTTAAACAAAGCCCCAAAAAAACCCATTCCTGGAATGAGTGTTCATATGGGGAACCCTGTATATAAAGGCAAAGCAATTTAGCTACAATGGCATAAATATCTTCCTTAATTTCAGAAATAGTGTCCTTTGTGTCAGATACCTTCCCTTGCCATTTTAGCAGGCGCCACTAGACACCCTCCATCTGGACAGTCACAAAGCTGAGCTGTAGGATTTGGCTGTTTTGTTCTTACTATCACACAATCTACAAATAGAGATTTTATTCTCAAACGGCGAATTCAACTTATTAAATCACTCACAGGTAAGACATGCAAAGGGGGGGAAATGAAAAGATTTTTAACATCTTTATTCTGCATACACTAAAAAAAAAGATGAAGGTTATGCAGAACAGTGGTAGGTTCCCCATGAACTTCCTATCAGACTCCCTGCATTCTCATATGTGTCCAAACTCTATTTTTAATAAACTTGTTATTATAGTTCAGAGTCTCTGCCAAGTGTTTACGGTGTTGCCCTAAGTAACAAGTCTGAGCCAAGGGACTTAATTAAATGTAACCTGCTTTTTCAGTTATAGAATAGTCCTTAAACATCAAAAGGCAAGTGGACTTTGTTAATAAAATCTGAAATCACTCTTTGTTTAAGAGTTCTTTACTCCTCACTGTATAGAATCAGTTACTTCTTAGAAGGCATATAGCATTTTCACAGATAATTTCCCACAAGCATTTACAGATTTTACGACAAGTAACATTCTGGTTTTATGTGAGAATCTCAGATTTCATACTTTCTCGCTGAGCTGATTCACAGACCCCAGCTTGCAGGGAAGAATGTAAAATATTAAAGAAAAATGTTTATAGAGGATGCCCTTTTGGATCTCACAATTTTGTAATGTCCTTACAATTTGAGAGGCTTACATTTCCATTTTGGAGCATTTGGTTCTGCATATATGGCAATTTTTTTTACAATTATCTAGGAGGAGGTTCTACCTATGAGGCCTTCTGCTAACCACAAAGTTAGTTTGGTGAAGGTGCTAAAGAGCCATCTGAAAGTCTCGGATTGACAAATGCAGGTGACACAGCTGCTGCCTCCCTGGACAGAGAGCACACCTGCTAAGTGAAACTGGACCAGGGCTTTCATTCACAGCAGCTTGCAGTCCAGTGTATTAAGATGAGGTCATTGCAGCTTATGTTGATGTGTGGGGCTAGAAACTAGAGTGGTCAGACCTGGCAGATGGACCTGAACCCCCTGCTGAGGTCCGGCCTGACCCTCTGACAGCAGAAGGGGTGGCTGCTGTGCTGACAGTCTCACCTCCATTGGTGCAGGAAGAGCAGGCAGCCCCAGCCTGTGCTGCTGCTGGACCACACCAACCTGTGCCATCCTGCCTTCAGAGGGCAAGGCAGCATAGAGCAGGTGCTTTCCCAGATAAGAAAGGTTTAATGCCCTTCTCCTCTCTCTAAGCGGAAGTTATAAATTCCCCATGCCTACAGTGTTAATCATTTACATCCTAAACTCAGCCTGACTCTGAGACCCAGGCTGTGCGGGTCGAATGCAGCCACCTGGCAGGCCTGGAGATGTCAGCGGCATGGGCTGCACCCTCAGTCACCATGACAGTGGAGCTGGGCAGCTCTTGCATGAGGATAGCAAGGAGGGTGAAGGCAGTAATTAATTCCAGGAAAATATGCAAGAACAATGAATCACAGCTGCAACATCACACCCCAGGTGGGGCTGGCAGTGAGGAGTTGCAGCAGAAATGGTGTGGTCAACAGGACCAGGGCAGTGACCATCTTCCTGTACTTGGCACTGCTGTGGCTGCACCTGGAGTCCTGTTCAGTTTTGTGGCCTTCACTGTAAGAAAGACATTGAGGTGCTGGTGTGTGCCCAGAGAAGGGCAATGGAGCTGGTGAAGGGTCTGGAGCACAAGTTGTATGAGGAGTGGCTGAGAGAGCTGAGGGTATTTATCCTGGAGAAAAGGCGACTCAGGGGAGACCTCATTGCTCTCTACAACTACTTGAAAGGAGGTTATAGCCAGGTGGGGGTCATTCTCTTTTCACAAGTAGCAAGTGATAGGACAAGAGGAAATACTCTCAAGCTGTTCCAGGGGAGGTTTAGGATTTTGGATATTAGGAAAGAAGTCTTTACTGAAAGGGTGGTCAAGCATTGGAACAGGGCTCCCAGAGAAGTGGTGGAGTCTGCTGCTGAAGATTGCACACTGGTTCATTATTCCTCATTCATTTACCTTCCCCTCATGTCATACTGCTTTCTCCAGCTGGCATGTTGAGCAGAGCAAATGGCCACTGGGAGGTCTCACGAGCAGGCCAGTGCAGAATGGGACAGGCTCTCTAGAGAGCTCATGACACTCCAGCTCCTGGAGGGTGCCCCTACACAATGGGACAAAGCCTCAGCTGTCCCCGTGTGGCACTGGCAGTAGTCCTGCTTTGAGCTGCAGTGAGTATTGGGGACCTCCAGCCACCTCTTGCAGACTGTTTCACTGATGCTGTGAAGTCATTTGCCTGTTTTTCCCACAGCCACACTGGCTCAGTTTCCAGCTCCACCTCTAAATGTGGTACTGATGCATTCAGCCCACTCAGACAACTCCTAGAACAAACAGGTCCTCCCAGTGCAAAATGAAGTCAAAGCACAGCATTGTGATTTCTGCAGATCTGTCTGAGTTGAGATGCTTTTTCTTTTTCACAAGCTGTTTTTTCTGCTCCTTGCAGTCAGGTTTATAAACTCTTCGTTATGGCACCCATCTGTCCTTACACCTATGCAAAACTTTCCAGTCTGGGTATATAAGCAGCTGAAGACTGCTCCACTCTTGGAGACCGCATTTTAGGATAGCTGACTGCTGCATGTTATAGTGGTGATGAACCCCTATTAGATGTTAAAGGGATGACTTTGCCTCCTTACCATCTCCATCTGATTTTGAGTAGTAATAGAGAAATCACCAGAGCAGGCTGTGGGAAGAGCACTGCATTCCTGAGCTGGGTGAAACAACTGGTTGTGCGGAATAAGTGTTTGCTTGGGATCACAAAAACACTTCCAACTTGAAAAAGCCACAATTTCTAGATCCCAGTTTGTTTATATTTAACTTTGTAGATCTCGGCATGTGTGTTCTACTAGTCTAACTCTTGATGCTATACTGGTCTGACTAGATCGTGTCAAAGTTTGCTGTTTACATTATACAGTCGTCATGGTTTGAAAACAGGCACGTAAGTACAAATAGTGGTATATTGTAATGAAACGCCTCGTATGCAAAAGAAATGTTCATGCTGTTCACCAGGTTTGTAGAGAACAGCTCTTAGTGACACTGCAGAGCCTTGGTAACAATTACTGTCCAAGTTTGATGAAAAAAGGTGTAAATGAAGACATCCAATGTGAAAATTCACCTCAAAGGAAATCTGATGGCCCAGACGGACTAGCAAGAGCAAGCTAAATCAGTATACAAGTATAAATGTTTTTAATGTATAATGGCATTGATTTAATCCCCACGAGGAGAACCCCTCTGCTGCTCATACTTTCGTTCTTCCATTGCTGCCGTGGCTGCATGACAATTATTCTAGGGACGACCCTTCTCCAGTCCCCAGGCACAGCAGGACACACGCTCGGCGTTGTTCGCAGCCCCCCGGGACCGCGCACGAGCCGCTCTGTGTGCGGGGCCCCCGACCGAGGGGGCGGCCGGCGCGGGGGCGGCGCGGAGGCGATGTGGGGGCGCGGCCTCCGCTGTTGCGGGGAGGAAGGGGCGGCGGGCGGGGCGATGCCCGCGGGGGGCACTGCCGGACCCCCGCCCTGCTCCGCCCCGCGCCAGCGCTCCGGCGCTCCCGGCCGGCCGGGCGGAGGGAGGGGGGGAGGCGCGGCGGGAGCAGAGGGAGGGACGCGGGGCGGGGCGCAGCCGGCGCGGAGAGGGGCCGCCCCCCCGCCCGCTCCGCTCCGCGCCCGCCGTCGGTGCCGGTGGAGGCGGCGGTTGCGGTGGCGGCGCCGCCGGCTCTCGCCGCCCCCTTCACCCCCGGCCCCGCGTCCCCATGGCCGGGCAGGAGTGGGACTGGTTCCAGCGCGAAGAGCTCATCGGGCACATCAGCGACATCCGAGTGCAGAACCTCCAAGGTAAACCAACACCCCCGCAGAAACCCCTCCCTCCGCCCCCGCGCCGCCCCGCTCACCTGCCCCAGCTGCTCCCCGCGCCGCTCCTGCCTCCCCCGCCCGGCCCCGGCCGCTCTGCTCGGGCTCCCTCGGCTCCGCGGAGCGGGGGCGGCGCGGGCGCGGGGCCGGAGGAGGAGGTCGGCGGGGCCAAAGTTTCCCCCGAGCGCGGCGCCGGCCCGTCCGGCCGCGGGGAGCCCCGGCGCTGGGGCGAGCGGCGCCGGGCCCGGGGCAGGGACGGGGCGCGGGGGCTCCGCGGGCGCTGGGGATGCTGCGGCGGCGGCTCGGCCCGTGTTCCCCTCGGGCGGCGCTGCCACCCACAGCCGCCCCCGAGCGCCGTCGGGGACGGGGCTGCAGGCTCCAGCTCGGCTCGGGTCGCTCCCGGCCGGGAGGACCTGTCCGGCCGGGCGGTGCGGGGCTCACGGCGCCGCTGTGGGTAACGGGAGCCTCGGTGCGGGGTCCCTGCGGGGCCGAGCAGAGGCGCCCTCCCGCCGCCCCGACCTGGAGATCCGGGGTCACTCGGCCACGATCGGGGCACGGCTCCGGGTCTGGACCAGCGCGATTTGAGCAGAAGCAGATGGCTATCAGAGGACTCGATTTAATGTATCTTCTGAAAAGCTGCTGTTGAATAAACATGGACAGAGCTTTTGGATGAATCGTCTACGAGATGCTCTTCTATTCTGCCACAGGCTTTGCAGGCGGAAGGGATGCAAATACTTGGGTCTGAAGGTAGATCGGTGTCAGCGTAGTAGTAGTTCCTCCAAAGTTATGTTTGCCCCTCACTGGGTAACTCGTCGTGATTGTCAAGGACAGCAAGAATCGATGGAAGAGGAAAAAGCAGCAGTGGTTTATGGGAGAACAGTTTGTTTAATGTAACATACCAATCTTAATCTGTATCTCACGTAATACTGCAATGTATCTTTATGTGCCATAAAAATAATAGACTTAAATCAGAGGTCATTATCTCTTCTTGTCTATGCATAATTATATTAAGGCACTGTCTACTGTCAGAGCAGTGCAGTTGCTGGAAATTAGTTTTGGTTTGGATTGATTATAGAAGATGTATAATTTATCAGAAGAGAGTCAAATTAACCATTCTTTAAGCTCTGATGTTGTATTAATGCCGTTAGCTGCTGATGGGGTCACTCCACAGCATTTTGACCTGCATCATCCTAACCTCTGAAATTCAGATTTTGAGTACAGCAAGAGCTGTTGATTCCAGGTTGATCTCCCCTTGGGTTTTGACAGTCTCTCATTACAGTGTAATTCTACATTTCTGACTCTTGGCTCAGTCTCTTTCTATTCTGTGTTGTTAGCATGGCTGATCGCTTGTTGCTCAAAACTGTAGCAGATTTAATCATTAATTCATGGACATTTTTTGAAAAGGAATACAAAAGTAATCTGTTTTTAAAAAGAGTAATAGGTTTTTGGCTTTGCCTCTCAGTCATGTGTAGAAGAAGGAGTTAAAAGTAATTTCACTTTCTGGAACTTAGAACTCATTTATACAGATGCACACAGCCTTATCAAAAATTCCTGTAGTCCTGTAGGAGAATGTCATCCTACAGAGGAAATTCCTTTGAATGACAGACATTATGTTCATGAAAAAACCCTCCTGTTCCCTTCTTACCATACAAGAGAAATTCTGAGAGATATATGAGTTGCACTGCTAAATAGGGTTTTAAGAAGTTTTATGCCTCTTGTGAGCTCTTACATGGCAGAAAAAGCACTTGTTCTAAGGTGCTGCTCCAAAGCAAGTGATAATATCTGTCACAAAATATATGATTTGTAACACATAGTTCTCACATTATCTTCTAGAGATGAAAAACATTTTACAGATGGTGAGTCTGATACTTGTGAGAGTGTGATTTTTGTCGCTTGGGAGCTTGGTGGCAGAGCATGGTGCTTCTCTTCAGAACAGTTTCTTGTAAAATGGCAGCATATGCTCCATGTTTGTATGTAGTAATTAAACGTGCTCCTGCTTTATAATTAAAAATTCATTCCCTCCTCTCAAAACAATGCAATCCGAATCACTGCTAGTATCATTCCCTATCAGTTGCAGAATCAATAACAGCCTGGATGTGCTAAAAAGTCAAGAGTCTGGGACGAAAAACTAGGTGAACACAATGCAGAGTTTCCATCGGCACCGTCAGAGCTCCTGCAGGGCCCTGCTTCTCAGGGCCACACGAAGGACCTCATGCAGTGAGGGTCCTCATCTGCTGCTGCATCTCCAGCTCCTGCAGCGCTCTCTTGCACGACCAGCCGTGCTTAGAGTAGGTGCTATGAAGTGGATGGTTTGTCTTATTCCAGAATGCTCCCATTCAGTGGGACATTCTGCATATGTGAAGGTGCTTCCTGGTCTCTGGGGAACCCATTATATTGATACAGACCCAGGAGGAGTAAGGAGAGGATGGGAGGCAGCAGCTAAATATTTGCAGATATGAACAACGCATGAAAACACTGAATGTCTGTGTGTAGCTATGGAGACTTCTGCTGCTGATGCACAGAGCCAGACAAATGTGAGGTCTGCAAGGCAGATAGCGGCAGTACAGTCCAAGCCATCCTACCCAGCAGGATGAAAGAGCCCAAATGGTGATGACCATGAGAAAGGGTCCTGAGCAGCCTAGCTGGTATTAAAGTTTCTGCAGGAATCATACAGCGATCTGCTGTAGTAGTTTTCCATAACCTTTCTACCTCCTTTTTTAAAAGCAAAAATTGCTCATTTCTTTCAAACAGTTCATTATGCCTTAGCTAAGCTATAGAGCACTGCTGATGTGGAATACTATTTGAAGATGGCATGTGCTGTTTCAGTCTGTTGCATCTTCCTTCTCTAGTTTGGTAGTTCCACATCCAGGAAGGATCCAAGGTGCTGGTTACTGGGAAGTGTCTGCTCTTCTGGAGATGCTTTTGCAGTGGCATGATCCCACCAAATTGAGAAATTGTTCTAGGTGCATGTGCCGGGTGCAAAAGTAGCCTCAGGGACTGTATGTTTTGTCATGTAACTAATGGGTGAAATTATGGCCCGTGTAGGTTTTTCGGTTTTTTCACAGTGAGACTAAAACTGGCAGCAAGGGGTGAAATTTACTAAATGGGCTGGACATGGGGGTGGGGAAGATGATTTTAAAAATGGAATTACATCTGGTTATTTAGACATAGGTGCATAATGGTGGGCTTCTATTTTCCCTTTCCATCAAGATATGAGATCTTCCATTTTATTTTTTAAATAAAGGAAGTGACATTTCAGAACTGTCGCAGGTAACTGATACTAAAAGCCAGGCGCATCCGTTCTCGGCAGAGGCGATTTCAGAGAACAGAAGCAGAAGCAACAATCTAATGGTGAAGGGGGGAGAGGAATGTAAAGAGGGAACAAATGCCAGATGTGGTGATGCACAAACCAAGTTCCTCTCTCCAGGTCTGCTCGGTTTCTAAACACATTCAATAAACTGATCCTCTTGTGCTCTTTGTTCTGTTTGTACATTCTCCATAGTGAATTTCTCCACATACTGAGAGAGAAAAATGGAAAGCCTGCGCAGAATGGAGGAGCGCATCATCAAGCGGTGGAATGCTCAATAATTAATTTCCTGCCAGGAGATGGTTTTTTTTCTCTCTCTCTTTCTTTCATTACAACACCAGTGGGAACATTTTGTTACAACACAAGAATATTTTAAAATCTTCCCTATTGGAAGCTTGATTTAGGATCATCAGAAATATACTTCCTTATGTGGCAAATTGCAGTCGCTAGAAAGAGGCAACATCCTCAGCAGGAATTAATCTCTTTTAGATGATATTTTGGTTGTGTGCTTTGCAATAGTCTGAATGTATGTTGAGTAGTACATATCTTTCCTTACATTCCTTGGAATGAAATATGTGGAGATGAATAATTGTGCAGTCAGAAGTTTTGTTACCACCACTTAAAAATAATTATGGTTTGAATGTTCATTTTGTATATTTACAATAGAGTAGATGGGCTGAGATGGTAGAACTCTACCATTCTGCTATCAGAAGACTAGACAAGGTCCTGCTACTTGTCATTTCACTACTCACTACATTGTACTCACTACATTGATCCAGAAACCACAGAAACTCCTAGATGTTTATTCCTTGATTTCTGTAGATTTAAATACTTTTCTGAGCCTCAGCCTTGCTCTGCTGAGGGATGCATGGCCTTCAAACGTATTTGGAGGGCTACGCAGGAGTGTACTGTAGTGTTGTCAGAAATAATGGGGAAAAAATGGTGACAGACTTGAAGAAATAACCTAAACAATGCCAGCCTCATTAATTCCCCATCCTTGTCATGGTTTGTAGGTTTATGGGAAACCATAGTTTATGGGTGGATCATTTAGTCGTAAACTACTGGCACTCTGATTTTGCTTGACTTCCTGTTTGGATCCCTATGATCTAGACTTTATAAGCTTTGGACAGCAGTAACTGTAGTTGTCATCAATATGAGTCTCAGCTTCCTTTGAGGTAACAGGTTCTGAATGAAGCCTGTGTCCTAGGAGGTAATACAAATGCTTAACTCATAAAAGTTAACTCTGGCAGTGAGAGTAACCTCCTGTCTTTGCTCTGGGGGGCTTAGGCATCTCTGATGGACTACCAAAGGTAGGTGCTATAGTCAGTCTTGAAAATGTTTCTCTCTGTATTTTTCTTTATCATTTATGTATGAAGCATAATTCTTATGACTTTTGCACTTAACTACAGAGAGTAATAATTTTCTTTTAATTACAAGATACAGCAGCATTCAACTTGTTTGCTATAGTTTGACATGCTTTTAAAATACATGGAAGTTTTACAAATAGAAGGAAACTTTTTAAATGTATCTATTCATTCTGACAAAAGTAACATTCTGTAACTGTTCATTAGTTTAACTCTTCTAAAACTTGTCACCATATTCAGCAGGATTTCATTCTGCCTGTAGGCACGCTTATTTAGTGGAGTTCTTTGTGGATCTGGGTGACATTTGGAAGAAT